AGAGCAGCGGAAAGCAGAAGCAGCCAGAGAGGCTGCTGAAATGGCAGAGAGGGAAAAGGTTGCAGAAGAGGAGCAGAAAGCAGAAGGGGCTTTAGAGGAGGCAAGTTTCAAGCTTTGCAAGCACATATTGTGGTCCACACACTGACTTACGCATGGTTACTATGTTGGAGGCCATCGCTAGTAATTAGGTTGGAGGCCATCGCTCTTAGGTTGGAGGCCATCGCTATTAGTTTGGATGGTCACTATGTTTGATTAAGGTTTGATTGACAGACCCAGACCCCTTTGACACATTTCTCAGGAATTAGTTCAACAGATGTTCCTTCAGGGCCTCCATCACACCGCAACAGAAGTTCCGATGCTGTCAATGCCGGAGGACAAGAATGACATTGAAGCAGCTGAAAAGACTCTAAGAGACACTGCAGATAGCAAGCTGAAAGAGGAGAAGGAGAAGGAGCCTGAGGAGATGGAAAAGAAGACAGCCAAGAAGAAAACAACGTTGACAACTATGCCTTCTCCAAAGCAAGACATTTTCTCAGATCCTTTGAGGGCTGCGGAAGAATCAGATTTGTTAAAAGCAGTAGGGACCACTGATCCATTTGGAGCCGAGGAGGCCCTCTCTGGCTCTGCTTTCGCTATTTGCTCAACAGGGTCTTAGCAGTCTTGGCCTTACACTTGCTTCATGCATTTCAGGAAAAGGCGGAAAAGCAGGAATGGATTGCCGCAAGTGCCTCAGGCTCAAGAGGCCACATGCGTGTTCAATAGGTTAGCATGTCAAGCCTGCCCCTTCTTCACTTAGGATTTCCCGGACAGGTAGGACCAGGAGGCTTCATGTTCCAACGTGTGGGGCGTGCGTGTCTGGCGCAAGCGTGAGGGGTCCGCTCGAACTTGTTAGCAGCAATGCGAACAATCCAGGGCCATAAATGAGCCATGGCCGATGGCCATGGCCGATGGTTCATTCCAGATGATTTGCGCTTCCCATGATTGATTGTGACTGCTGTTGACGTGAAAAGTGCGCAGTGGTTCGGGAAGGCAAATACATACTTACTGTATGACATATATATTTATACACTCTTGCAATTTTGCATGAATGAGAATGAAGCCTGCTTTCCAGTCAACCTGGAACTTAGTTGTGGAACAGGAGGTTCGACAGCTTGTGAATGCACGTGCGTGATGTTCAAAGCTTCAAGCATATTCAGAACCTTGCTGGGCATCGCAGGTCCAAAGAGAATCTTATGTAAGATACCCATCCCACTATTTGTAAGTGTGCTTGCCTGCTTTTTTGAGCTCTTGGGCATAACTGCCCTTACCATATTTCACACCAGTCTGGGTTCGCGAAGTGCAAGTGAGCTTGTGGAAAGTGTTGGTTACTGACGTCATGGTAGGAGTCTTTGTTCATAGCTATGGCATCAGCTGTTGAATCTTCTCAATGGCCAGCAGACCACGTGGTAGTGACACCTTCCATCTTGGCCCGGTACTTCCCTGACACCAAAGAATGGGACGCTTTTTGCTGCAGTGTGCCGGAGCAATGTGCGTTTCCCATGACGCCTTCAGTCTTTTCTGGAAGTGAGCTGCGCTCTATGGCATTCTATGGGGGCCGATGCCCTTGGTTGCACCAGCAAATAGTGATTGGCACTGGCAGTGCCTTGCATGATCACACCTTTCAGTTCAGCTCAGGCCTGTCCTTGTCAGAAATGTTGTGAGAGTGCTCTCTGGCTGCAAGCATGTGCTCTCTCTCTCTCTCTCCATGCTGTGCTTCCTTTGTGGTGCCAGTCCAAACAAAAGGCCTCATGTTGACGGATATTCGACATTAGTTGCACGATATGCTCAACGATTTCGTTTTTGTCCCGAGCTTAACATTCTTCCTTCCACCCTGGTTTCCGTGTCTTCTGCTCTTAGGCAGACAGGGGAAGCTACTTTGGAGATGAGCCCGTGGTTCCGATATTTGGTTCGCTTCTCAGTTCATTTGTTCTCTACTCAGCTCTCTCGCGTTCGGCTTCGGTTTTGCTGTTTGCGCAAATGCGCTGTAGAAATGCGATGGCGAACTAACTGTATTATTGTTTGCGGAGGAGATGATTTTGAAGCGCTGTCAATGCCTGTGGCCAAGCCTATTGGAGTTGACAAACTCGGATTGCAGCGGTTCTTTCCAAAGTGCGCTTGGTTTGCGAGACTCAATCTTTGGCAAGGCCGCCCGTCGTCCCAAGCAGGCCAGAGAGAAGACAGAAACGCAAATTCTAATTAAGTTTCGTTTCGTTTTAATTCTATTTCTAATTATTGTTTCTATTAGGGTCCTTGTTACTAGTAGTACGGCCAGGAGCCCCTAGTAGCGTTCTTTGCTCCTAGTAGCGATGCCCGGGTTCCCAGTAGGTTCAGAAGGAACTTTGTAGACTGATGTAAAGTGCGCCGTGCCATTGGTTGTGGGCGTGCCCCTCTCGGAGATGCCATTGCCTATCAAACGCCACTCGTCCAGTCCTTACCCAGATCTCGGCATCTCTTCGGGCTGCTAGAGCTTATCAGGTTGCCACTCACTATACATTCACCAGACATATTGTATTGATTCGATGGCTTCCAACCTAGTAGCTTCTAGCTACTAGTAGTAATGGCCTCAACCTAGTTTTCGAAGGACTCTTCAGTGTTCATCTTGATGAAGGTGCAGCTGTCGACTCCATCTTCCGTTTCTTTTTCTTTCTCATCACAGTCAACAACATCCTCATGAAAAAGTTCAGCTCAGCTATCACTACCGGCAGCATCATGCAAACATCGTCACAGAATCAGCATCATCGCCATCATTGTCACCAACGTCGTTCTATTCCTGTAGCATCATCATTTATAGCAGTGTGAACGCAAATTCTACAAGCACCTACGACTTCACACTTGCATCACATCCTCCCACTCGTCTCCTCCTCATCGCCAGCGCAACCATCATAATACGCCCAAGAATCAGATGTGCATTCTGTTGGTGTAGAAATTCAAATATTCAGATTCATAAATACAAGGATATGTAAAGCAACAGATGTACAGAGCTTTTTGCCTGAGTGCAATTATATGTTCTCATATGTGTTTCCTGTTTGGGCCCTGTTGCCCGGATAATTGACAATTCGCCTTTGGTATTGCAGCATGCCTTTTGCCTTCAGAGCAAGGAAGTGGCGTTGAAAACGAACACCATTTCTTTTGTTTGTTCATACGCCAAATCGCTACAATTTGCATCATACGGACGCTTTGGGGAAGCGTTCTGGGCGGTGTTGAACCAAAGAGCGAGAAAACGCTGTGCCTCGGTCATGTTTTTTTCACATGGCATCACTGGTGTGAAGGATGCTAGTTAGAAAAACACATGGCAGTTTGCCACTGTTTTAAAACAGCAAAAATAATGACTAACTAAAGAAAACACTTTACAACTCAGTACAAGCAAGTACAGTATAACTACAGTATATATAAAAATCATTTTGGCACGATGTGTGCAGCTTTTGGTTGTCCAGTTGTCCGGTACGATTTTGAGAAATTGCCGCGCGGCAAACACATACTGCCTCGTTTTTGGAGTGGCGGTCCGGCACACAAGCCACTGGATATGATTTGTGGTGGGCCAACCACGTGGCATTCGGGGTTGTCTTGGTATCCCGGGTGCTCGTGGCAGGAACTTCTTTGTAAGTTTTTTGCTCTACACGCGGCTGGCCAGCAGACAGCTGCACACCAGTTCGGAATCACAACGATACTATGTTCAGGGCAAAACTACACCACACCGTTTTTGGTGCATTCGGCGTACTCAGTGCAGCGCATTGAGGGCTTTTGCACGAAGAGGCGCGCTCAGCACAATGCAGCCCCAGAACTCAAGGATCAGCAGATTTACTGCAACAAAGAAGGCACGTTTTCCGCTGTATCTGTGCAAGAGCTGCCCGAGCCCCGACCTGTATGTGCTTGCCAGCACACGTCATTACTGCAATTAGGTGGGATGCAAGTCTGCGGCTTCAAAACGCTTGATCAACACAAACAGTGTTCCTTTTGCTTCGCCAAAATAAAGGTTGACGAATGGTTGACGAATCTATATAGTACAGGTCTAATTTGTTTGTGAACTTGTAGGGGCATCAGCTCAAGCCACTGTATATAATGACGAATGGCAGCGTCAGGTCAAAGCGCTGTGCGTATATATATATATATTATCATATGAGTTGGTTCCAAGATTCAAGCACCAGCTACTTGCGCAACAGAAAACACGATGACATCCTGGCCAAGCTATCCGACGTTCTTTTTGGTAGTCTCCCATGATCATCATAATGATTAATGTGTAATTAGCTAGTATTGCTTGTCCAAAGCGTGGAATAAAAACATGTGCAGAGAGCATGTACTACCGGTGATCAAAAAACATTGGCCCCTGAGGAAGATCATGGAAGAAGTATATAATATATATGTATATAATACTGTATATATACGTATATAGAATCTATTGTACATCTACTGAATACTTGCTAGTAGGTTGGAGGCCATCGCTAGTAGCTTGGAGGCCATTCCTATTAGGTTGGCGGCCGTCGCTAGTAGGTTGGAGGCCATTCCTATTAGGTTGGAGGCCATCCCTAGTAGGTT